CAGAAACAACGCGACTCGTTTACGGATCCTCTTTTCTGCTGTTGGAGAGTTCGGTCACAGTCGCACTCATGAAGCCGACCTCGTCACTGACTGAACGAAGATGATGGAGAGAATGCATTTATTTAAACTGCATGTGTACAATTCTGTTTACCTGTGCAAGTGTATCGCCATGACGACAAGGTGTAGCAAAGGCATTGCTCTGCAGTTGCTAAGGTGTTTCCATGACGACGAGGTGTTGCAAAGGCATTGCTCTGCGCGCGGTTGCTAAGGTGTTTTTTTCCTGCTTACCTGCGGAAGTTTATCACCATGACGGAAAGGTGTTGCGATGTTTGCTGAGGTGTTCTTTGTGTGTGTACATTGTTTTGAAGGGAATGTGAGTTCTGTTTACCTCGCTGGCATGATGACAGGGTGTTGCAAAGGCACTGCTCTGTGGTTTCTAAAGTGTTGCCATGACAACAGGGTGTTGCAAGGGCATTGCTCTGTGGTTTCTAAGGCGTTGCCATGACAACAGGGTGTTTGCAAGGGCATTGCTCTGTGGTTTCTAAGGTGTTGCCATGACTAAAGTGCGTTGCAAGCACATTGCTCTCTGGTTTCTAAGGTGTTGCCATGACGATAGTCTGTTGAAAGGGTGTTGCTCTGTGTTGGTAAGGTGTTTTTTTCTGAATGAAATGTCAGGTCTGTTTACGTTGTGCCGTTTATGTTTTAATCACATTATTTCATTCAAATAAGGGAAAAATAAGCACCGTAATCAAAAATGAAATATTTTTAGTGTTTCCAGCAGGGGAGTTGCAATCTGATGGGGAGAAAAAATAAAGAAACTAAAAAAACACGGTTATAAAGTAGACAAGTTTTCCCTATTACAAAATATTTTTAATTATTTCCTATATATTCTATATTTTCCTTTCTTATTATTTTTCTATATTATTTATATAATACATTTATGATAATTGAATGTTAGTATATTTTTTATATTGGATTTTATATAATTTCTATTCTATTATATAATAGAATAATTATATAATATTCATATTTTTACAGCATTAAATTTAATGATATGGGCTTATTTTATTTTATTTTTTTTCATTATTTTAATTATAAAATGTTTATAATTTGTGTCATTATATAATGCTCGATTCCAAGTAATAAATGATGTATCAGGCTCACGCTGTAGGAGAAATTAAGGCATTTCACGTGTCAAAGCCAGTCAGTTTTATGTGTTCATGACGTTTCTAAACATATTCACAGCGAATAATGCCGTAACACCTGATGAGTTCAGATGTGATGAGGAAGGCCTCTACTTGTGTCCATCCGTTTCACGACAGCCTCGTTTTAACAGGAGCACAGCGACTCGAACCTCTGTAAGACATCAGAAGCGGCTCAACTGTTTCTCCAGGAGCAAATTGCACCTTTCACGGTTTAAAAATATAACCACGGCTTTCAAGAGCAGAGAACAAATCCATCGGCTATTAGCATTCGTGGCACTCATGAGTCAGAGAGAGAGAAACTGAGCGAGAGTGGAGGGAGGGGGATTGATCCGGTGTTTCCAGACACACACACACACACTGACCTGTCAGCTCACACAGACGTCGCATCTAAAACAATCAGAAACGAGTGTGATTTACTTGTGTTGATTCCCATCAGTGTTTAACATGAGCTTCTGTTCACTTCACTCTCAAACCCAAGCGTTTGCTTCGTCTCGGAAATATTCCTGTAACACACCTGTGAGGTCAGAGAGAGAGAGTGATTTATCGAACCCTGGGAGCCACACAGGTCAAAGGGCAAGCGACAGAGAGAGAGAGAGAGAGAGTGTTAGAAGATTGCATCAGTGTTTGAGCGTGTCGAGACGCTCAAAAGGTCACGACTGAAACCCAATGCTGCATTTCATCAGGGTTTCCACATTCATTCCTGTTGTTCTGCTGTTCCTGCAGGGCATTGTGGGAAGGGACCGCAGATTAACCCTATAATTCATCATTTACTCGTTCTAAACCTGCATGAAGTTTGCTCGCAAGATATTTGTAACCAAACTGTTTTTATTCTTATGTTTGCATTTGAAGCACTTACAAATAAATGAAGTATGAGAATATTCTCATATTTTTTTATTTGCTTAGTTTTACCCAGTGTTATTTAAGTTTTTATTATAGTTTTATTTGAATTTCATTTTTATTGAGTTTTCTTAAAATATTGCTATTTATGTTTAATACATTTTTAGTTTTGAGTTGATAATTATAGTGCTTCAACTTAAATTTGTTTCAAGTAGTTGCCAAGGCAACATTTCTTATTTTCATTTAGTTTAAGTTTCTCAACTGTTTACATTTTATTTTATTTTATTTCAGCTTTATTTGAATTAACAGAAATAATGGTAATCCTGATTTTGCCGTAAATCATGAGATGAGGCGGTGTGCAAGATCATAAAATCAAAGACACAGATGCAATGTTTGTTAAAGGTCTATTTATATATTTTATATTTATAAGATTTATAAGATATTTTATATTTATATTTTTATTTAATTCAATTAATGTTGTTTTATTTTTTATATAATTTTCTTATTTCATTTTATATTAATATAATTTATTTTTTTTACTTAGTTTTACCCAGTTTTATATAAGTTTTTATTATAGTATTATTAACATTTTGTTAATTTGACTTTAATTTTTGAGTTTTTTTATTTTTTATTTATTTATTTTTTGTTATTATTTTATTTTTTTGTTTTTATTTCAACATTATTTTATATTAACATTCGTTAAACTGAAATGAGCAGAATTACTCCTTTAGTTCTACCGCAGTGTCGGTTCACTCAGCCGTAATCGACGCTCTTAATTCCAGCCATTGATCTAAACAAACATTTCATCAATAGTAATATTTTTAATACACTTTGATCAGGAAATTCATCCATCAGCCCAGAGGAGGTCCATCATACACACGAGTGTGTGTGTGTGTGTGTGTGTGTGTGCGCGTGTGTAAGCAGAAGCCGTCTGTCTCGGTGTGTTTGTCAGACAGATGTGTGTGTGTGCTCTCTAAAATCCTCACTATATTATTCTTTTCAGTATATTTAGTATCAGTATCGTGATATTGTTACACCCCTAATAAATATAGGATTAATGTATTTGAAATGCATGTAAAACGCAGTATATCTGTCAGTCATGCTTCAATGAAACAGCTCAGATTTCTTTGGTTTTGTTTCTGAAGTTAAATAATTGAGTTAGTTGAGGCTCAGATCACACTAGCGCGAGACGAGACGGAGCCTCAGATGTTCTGGGTTTGATTCTGAGGAGTAAGTGCAGATGAAATATTATATCCTCTGAACACTGATCTGAGACCTGCGTGAAAGCGAGCGAAGGCTTGACATTTTACCTTCGCAAGGCGGATAACATCGACTCAACTCAGGGCTGTTTTTAGCTCCGCAAAGACTGAAGCAGGATAACAGCTTTATCATAATTACACAGAGACGAGAGAGAGAAGGAGAGATAAATTCAGCTGCAAAATTCCTGAAAGTCTAGTTTTTCTGTAACTAATCGTGCATCTGTTGATTCAGCAGCTCAAACTTGCTTTTGTTTTGATTTTAAAGTGTTTATTTACAATCATTGACAGCATATTTAAGAAATATTTGCATGTATATACTGTATATACATCTACATATAATTTATATTATATATAAATATTAATATTTTATGTATAAATAAAAAATATTCTTAAATATATATCCAATCCAATCCACTTTATTTATATAGCACAATTTAAACAAACACAGGGTTTCCAAAGTGCCGTACACCACAACAATGAAAAAGTAAGATGTACAATAATACATAATTATAATAATAGCATAAAAATAAAATCAATTCAAATTGAATAATTTTGTGAGTAAAGTGAACACATTTAAACCACATCAATCATGATTAACTGGTGTTAAAAGCCAGAGTAAAAATATAGATATACATGCATGTGTGTGTATTATATACAAAATAATGAAACAGAGCACACATACATATATTATGTGGACACAAACTTTTATTGTGGTTTGATTAATCATTCCACAGCACTAATTATTATACTTACTGCTTAATATACATGTTTGGGCTCTGTTGTTAATTTGAACCTCTGATAATATGATGTACAGTACCTGTGATCATTTACAGTGTGTATGTGTGTATTTACAGCATTAGTTAGGAGCGATTTTCAGTAGTTTCTAGTACGGGTGCATCTCTAGTTTCAATCATCTCTGTCTGAGAGAGTGTTTTGGTGACTGTAATCATTAGTAAATTCTCACATTCACACATTAACACCTCAGATTCAACAGCAGGAGAATATAATGATCCACTCAGAGGGCAGAAACGAGCTTTGTGCTGCACTTCTCTATGTGCGTGTGTTCCTGCAGACGGAGGCAGTGAGAGTCATAAAGATATTGCCAATTATTCGGTAACTCATTGCATAATTAATTTCCACAGTAATGCACAACTCGTGGCCAATCGCCTGCAGATGTGGTCAGATGCATTCGTTTCATTTATTTTGCATGCATTTAGCAGGGCTTTTATCCAAAATCACGTCATGTCAGATCTATTTATCCAGCACTTTTTACATCACAGATTGTTTCAAAGCAGCTTCATGGTAATAAACAGAGTCAATTATGCAAACTTCATCATCAAATTTAGATTCAGGAATTAAGCAGCTTTACAGAAGACCGAAGAGTCTTTTAATGACCAAAAATATATTTATTTATCTATCTCACATGATTTTCGAACACATTTCAAAACCTTGTGAAAGTGAATATAAAATAAAACAAGCTTGAATTAAATTTAGTTTGATCTCCAGAATTCTGTTATTGCACTGTATTGCATTAGCTTTTATTATTTTTTTCTTAAGTTGTAGTTATTTTAGTACATCAAGATTAAACAAGAAATTTGCCTGAAATAAAAGACTAATTCTATATTTTATTTTAATTGTATTTTCAGTTTGTTATTTAAGTCAGTTATTAGTAGGGTTTTTATGATTAACTAATACTAAAACTAAAATAAAAATAAATTAAACCTTAATAGCAATATTGAAATAATAATAATAATTTGAATATGACAAAAGCTAAATCAATCAGCTAAATGAATAAATATAAATGTAAAAGCACATAAAGAAATGAATTCCCTGTTATGCAATAATTTGATCCCTTTAAACTAGGGCTGCGGTTAATCGCATCCAAAATAAAAGTTTGTGTTTACATAATATATGTGGGTGCACAGTGTATAATTATATATATATATATATATATATATAAATACACAAATATGCTTGTATATATTTAAGAAATATTGTCATGTATATCCTGTATATAGATTTATATTATATATAAATATAAACATTTTATATATAAATAATATTTTTTTCTTAAATATACATGCCTGTGTGTGTGTATTTATATATATACAAAATAATTATACACAGTGCACCCACATATATTATGTAAACACAAACTTTTATTTTGGATGCGATTGATCGCGATTAATCGTTTGACAGCCGTACTTTAAACTCATCTTCGATCACCAAAATGACATTTAAAACTCGACACCCTCGCCTCATTTAGGATGTGCGGTGCTATGAATATGCAAATGAGCCCCGCCTCCACTCACTCACCCACTCACTTGATCTGATTGATTACAAGGTCGTTTGTGACGTCAGAAACACCAGCGATTTCAAACCGTGTTTTTGAGGCTGTCTTACAATACTCAGCAATGCTGTCGACTTATGAATTTACACATGGAGTGTCTTAAAGTGTATTAAAAACACCACATACACACAAACAACATTAAAAACTTGATTTTCCCCACAGGGATTAACATGAAAACAAAAGATCTAGTAGAACACAGGAGTGCAGATGTTTGACTGATGAAGCTCCGGCGCTTTGGGAGTTTCAGTGTTTTGGTGTCCAGATGCTGTTTTCTCTCTCTGACGTTGGTGTGTGTAAGTGAGAAGATGAAGCCTGTGTGTGTCTGTGTGTGTGTGTGTGTGTGTCTCCTCTCCAGGCAGTGTTGTTTGTAACTTATTACAGGTAACTTGAGTAATGTAATCTGATTACTTTTTCAAGTAACTAGTAAAGAAACACATTACTTTTTCAATATACAACAAAATAGCTAAGTTACTTTTTCACACTCATTGACTGACAGCTCTCCTGTCCTCATGTTGAGGGAAATAAAGTGAGGTGTGTGTGTGTGTGTGCGCGCTGTATAAACATGATGGTTATTTCAGTTCTAGACTAAATTTGATCATGCATTTATTTGTCTCACTTTCACGAAAACATTCAGTTTTCCTCAAAATTAATAAATAGTAAAATGACGTCCATAATTATAATTAACCATATTAAATGACACAAATATACTTTATGTATTTAATCTCACTTTATTAACCGATGTCTTTGCTGCTGACCTTCAATGATCTGATTCAGCCAGACTTATAAGCAAACATGACTTTAGATGAGATTTAGTCATAAGAGTGTTGACTTCTCTGTAATCCAGAATATGAGCAGCTGAAAGGGTTAAATCTGTATTTACTTCATCATGAGGATTATTCACTTCTCTTTCGATGAGAAAGGCAGTGTTGTAGTACTCGAGACTCGGACTCGTCTCGGACTCGGTCTCGAGACCATATTTTAATGGTCTTGGTCTTGTCATGGACTCGTGTGCATTTGGACTCAGAATTGACTCGTACTCGAACATTTTTTTTTTTTTCAGGACTCGGAATTATTCCCGAGTCCACTCCAGTTCAATTCAAAATATATTTTTTATGATTATTAATGTATGTTATAAAATATTTCTTCAAATTGATTGACACGCCCAGTGATTGGTGATTTTCTAGTGCGCAACAGCGCATGACAAATTGTAATAAAATTACTTTTAACACCACCTACTATGTGGCCTTTTTACCCTAAACTGATCATATTTTTTAAACTCTAAGTAAATTCAGTAAAAAAAAAAAAAAAGAATTTCTCTAAGTAAATAAAAGTAAATTAGGTAATCAACCCTCACTGGTCTCGGACTCGACTCGGACTCGACTCTATCTGGTCTCGGTGTCGACTCGGACTCGAGTGAGGTGGTCTCGACTTCAACACTGGAGAAAGGGCCTTAACTTACTTACCAAAATGACTTTTTTTGTTGTTATTAAAAAACAAACAAGCAAGCCCAGCCCTGCAGGTAAGAAAAAGTAACTCAAAAGTAACGTAACCCATTACATTTCATAAAAACTTTTTGCATTATGCATTATGTTAAAAGTGACTTTCGCCACCACTGTGTGCAGGAGGGATCTTCGAGTCGATCGAGAGCGGCCCATCTGGACCAGAAGAACTGGCCTTTAAATTCGCCCTGAACACCATCAACAGGAACCGGACGCTTCTGCCCAACACGACGCTCACGTACGACATCCAGAGAATCAACGTCTTCGACAGTTTCGAGGCGTCCAGGAAAGGTGAGAGAGTTTCCCTCCCAAACGCTCCTGAAACGGGCTCTTTTGTCTTCCCAAATGCTGCCCTATTTTCCTGTGCACACCCAAAACTTCAGCTCTGGCCTCGTTTGTAATTTTAATGACCTTTTTTTTTACGCCGGAATGAAATTGGGCTCATTTAGAGAACTAGCATGTGAGCTGTGTTTGCGGTCAAAGAACATCCAGTTTAAAACTGAGACTGAGATGGACGAACAGAAGCAGCTCATTTGAATATGTGCATTAGTGACCTCGACTGCTGAGGGGAAACTGTGTTTTTATCATAAAAGCTAATCTCTGTGTTGCTCAGACAGCATTCTGTCATCACGTCGTTCCAAAACGAAATACTATAAGTACATTTATGCTGATTTATACAGTCATGCTCTAAAGGGAACAAAAAAATCACTTCAGAATTGTATGATCACTTTGTGTGACAAAAGAGGAGCCAATATTAAAGAAAGTTCTGGTTTCTTTAATTTCACCGTATGAACTGCATCATCTATAAATACACAGAAAATAATTTGGATTTAAAAACACATCCGATGGCTGTAAACTCTAGAATACACTCTTGCAAAATAAACCTGCAAGACCTCACAAATTATGTATTTACTTTAACCACTACACAAGAATGTACACATTTGTAAATAAAAATGTGATGTTTGTAAATAATAACTTAAATATTTGTAAATAATAATCAAGAATGTAAATATATGCAAATAAAAAATCCCAAAATGTAGTTAATAATGAAATCATGTACATTTTTGTAAATAATAATCAAATATCTAAATAAACAATCGTAAATAATAATCAAAAATGTTTATTATTCTAAAAAAGAGAATGTAAATAAAATGTGTACATATATATATTTGTATTTGCAAATGTAAATATTTCTAAGTTAACCCCGTAATGTAAGTAATAATGAAATCATGTAAATTTTTGTAAATAACAAAACAAAAAATGTGAATATTTGTACAAAAATAATCAAAAATGTTTATAATTCTAAAAAAGAATCAAGAATGTAAAAATTTTCTGTGGGTCAGCGTTTGATTGGTCATGTGTTGTTTTGTTCTGTCCAATCGGCAGCCTGCGAGCAGCTCTCCCTGGGCGTGGCTTCGATCTTTGGCCCCTCCCACAGCTCGTCAGCCAATGCGGTGCAGTCGATCTCGAACGCTCTCGGTGTCCCTCACATTCAGACCCGCTGGAAGCACCAGGTGTCGGATAACAGGGACTCTTATTATGTCAGTCTGTATCCCGACTTCTCCTCGCTCAGCCGGGCCATCCTGGACCTCGTGCACTTCTTCAGGTGGAGGACCGTCACGGTGGTGTACGACGACAGCACGGGTGAGCACACACACACACACACACACACACACACTTCTTCACACCAACTACATTCACATCTAGGAAACTAGAGAACACCAGCTCAGTGCACACTGTGTGCTGCGGACTACTTCTTAATGATAGTTTGTGCACAGTGTGCTATTCAGAAATAAATATGCTTATTTTATTTTTATTTAAAAATTCTAAATGTTTTTAATCTAGCGGTGTGTAAATTATTTGTATTTTTTATACTTTTAAAGTATATATTTGTCACGCCTTTAAAATGACTATTGATGACAATACAAATAGAAGAATTCAGGAAATTTGTAAATATAAATGTAAAGATGTGTAAATAAAAAGTGTAAACATTTGTAAAAAAAAAAATTGTATATATATTTTTAATTGTTTGGATTATTTAAACTTTTAAAATATATATTTGTCACTCACTTTTTGATTTAAAAAGTTACAAATAAAAAAGTTAAAGACTTTGTAAATAAATCAAGAATGTAAATATTTGTAAATAAAAATGTAAAGTATTGTAAATAGTCTAAACATTTGAAAAAAAAAAGTAAATAGCTTTTCATAAATTATTGGGATTATTTATACTTTTAAAATATACATTTGTCACTCAGGAAGATTGAAAAATTGCAATAAAAAAGTTAAAGAATTTGTAAATAAAAATCAGAACTGTAAATATATATAAATAAACATTTGTTAGAAGTGTTTTAAATAGCTTTTATAAATTATTTGGATTTATGATATTTGTTACTCAGGAAGATTATAAAAAAAAATGTAAATAAAAAATTTCAAATTATTGTTTGGATTATTTGTACTTTTAAAAAAAAAACGTTTGTCACTCTGCAAATGTTTAAAATGATTATTGAGGACAACAATAGTACAACAAATGTTCCAGGACCTAAACACACACATTCTCTTATGCAAATATGTAAATTTGAACCTAAAATCTCCACGTTAAGTAAATAAAAATAGAATATTTCACCGACAGGTCCATTTGTCGACTGCCTAGTTGGTCATCTGGGTGTTTTATGCATATAGAAAATTAGCATAATGTGCAGTAATTCATCACACTGATAGAGCGAGTACAGCACGAGCTCGGGTTATTGGAGAAGAATAACGTTGATGATTATAATAAAGACTAAATAACTGGCTTATTTGCGTACAGTCGTATCAGATCTCAGTCTCTCCCGCCTCATGAATCTCACCGCTGCGTCTCCTCATTAGTCTGTTCTAATTAATAGAAAGTATTGTATTACGTTCTCCGAGCGTTTTGCCTGTAATCACGCAAATTGAATCAAACTGGGAGCCGGAATCATTTGTTTTAATTAGGCGTTCAGCGGCGGCTCCTGCTGTCGGCAAAGCAAACGCCTGTAAACATGTTCAACGGCCATCGTGATGTGTGTGTGTGTGTGTGTGAGACTCCTGCTGTTGGCAAATCAAATGGGCCCCGATGAAAACATGTTCAATGGCCACCGTGATGCTGTGTGTGTGTGTGTGTGTGTTCTGAAGGCTTGATGTATTATTTTTTACTGCATCTTTTGCTGAAGTCCTCAGTCTCACCTAGAGTAGCAGGAGGCAGTTGCCAGGCGACCATTAGTTACCGTTGTTAAGGTCACATGAAGCCCCTCCCTCTGAGTATCCCAGAATGCTCTGCTGCAATGAGACGAGTCCCAGCGGAGCGACATCATGTCCACACATGTGATCAGATCAATTCAGACCTGTCCAAAACTTTACACAACCCTAGAGATGGGTCTGCTGTGGTGTGTGTGTGTGTGTGATCTGGACCTGCTGTTGTTCTCCTCAGGTCTCATTCGTCTGCAGGAGCTCATTAAAGCTCCTTCTCGTTTCAACATCCGGCTGAAGATCCGGCAACTCTCCGCCGACACCAAAGACGCCAAACCGCTCCTCAAAGACATGAAGAAAGCCAAGGAGTTCCACGTCATCTTCGACTGCAGTCACGAGATGGCAGCCTGGATCCTCAAGCAGGTGAGCGTTCCTCACACACACACACACACACCTTCACGAGGATGCTCGTCTCCATTTCTCATGTTAAATCTCAGTGTTAGAAATTCTATTAGTGTGACATTATTACAGACGCCTCGAAACCGAAATGGGAATGTAATTAAAAAGGCGGTTTGGCCGCAGGGCTTGAAGATCTGATGAACACACTCGTTTATCCCCGCAGCGCTGATGATGATGATGGAGGTGTTTCTGACTATCCTCCGTCCTGTTACGTGAACAGAAGTTCAAAGTTATCTGCTCTTTAATGATGAAACATCATCGCTCATGGAATGTTTCAGTTGATGTGTGTTTTAAATGTAACGGTTTTTGAATGTTTCTACTTTATTCAAAAGTAACGTTCCATAATGTGTGAAGAACGATACAGTGTCACGGATGGTTGTTTTGAACATCTATATCGGTCTGTTACTCGCATGTCCCTCGACCGTCAGTGTGTGTGTGCAGTGCCGAGTTTGATGTTGTTTGGAATAAAAAATGCAAAAGATATCAGTAAAAGAAGCACTTAGAAGGTTGTGGTTTAAAAATCAACATTCTGACATAAACACTGTCAGATAAATATAAAAATAAAAATGTCACTGGACTCAAACACAACTAACAAACACTAAACACACACAAATATATGTTAATAAAAACGTTCTTAGAACATACTTTTGTACGCTGGGACAGCGTAATGATATATTATTTAAACGGGAAAGGATTTAGAGATCACAGTTTCATTTTTTGTACTGATAATTAATCTATGGTTATTTCAATAATGAATCATTATATTGCAGTTATGAGAATATAAAGAGATTTATTATTGGGATGGGATTATAAGAGTTACTAAAAACTCTCAAGGTTTCTTTGTGCTGCTTCATTCTCAGGAAAATAAAAGTAAAATAAAATGGTAAAAGCTGTAAAATGTAATTTTCTGTTTTGTTTTGTATTTGTTGAAATATGACCTATTCATGTTTGTGTTCTTTTATTTCACACAGGCTCTTTCAATGGGGATGGTGACAGAATACTATCATTACATCTTTACAACTCTGGTGAGACTCGCGTGCACACACACACACACACACAAACACACACACACTCTCTCACTGACTCACTCACTCACTCACTGACTCACTGACTCACTCACTGACTCACTCACTCACTCACTGACTCACTCACTCACTCACTCACTGACTCACTCACTGACTCACTGACTCACTCACTCACTGACTCACTCACTGACTCACTCACTGACTCACTCACTCACTCACTGACTCACTCACTGACTCACTCACTCACTCACTCACTCACTGACTCACTCACTCACTGACTCACTCACTGACTCAATCACTCACTGACTCACTCACTCACTGACTCATTCACTCACTGACTCACTCACTCACTGACTCATTCACTCACTCACTCACTCACTGACTCAATCACTGACTCAATCACTCACTGACTCACTCACTCACTGACTCATTCACTCACTGACTCACTCACTTACTGACTCACTCACTCACTCACTCACTGACTCACTCACTCACTGACTCACTCACTGACTCAATCACTCACTGACTCACTCACTCACTGACTCACTCACTCACTGACTCACTCACTGACTCAATCACTGACTCAATCACTCACTGACTCACTCACTCACTGACTCATTCACTCACTGGGTGCTTCTCATTTCTTATTTGTGCATCCTCGTTTCCTTTCCTTGTTTCCTTTCCTTGCGTCTCAGCTCCACCCCCTGTAGGACGCGAGGGAAGGAAGCGAGGAAAGGAAAGGAGGACAGAGGAATCGAATAAAAGCTTTTGGAATACTTGATCACTCGAGTGTCAATTCACAGTGTCATCAGCAGCGCTAAAAGGATCTGCCCTTATGATGCTGAAGTTTGGTTATTTAATAAATTCATAATAAATAATAATAAAGATAGGCTATACTGTTGAAATATCTGAGATGTGTGGTTTATATAAACTGCAAAGGTAAAGTATAAATTAAAATGATTGTGACCGATGTGAAGGGGGAGGAGAATTGACACGTGCGTCACGTTTAGTCAATATAACAGTTCCGCGTAGGATGCACCTGTGTATCCTCGCTTATGACTCCTCAGGAAGCCTCCTCACTCCTCGATCCTCGACTCCTCACGGTGCAATTAGAGAATTGAGATGTCCTTCAAGATGGCTGAGCTCGATCGGTTTCCGGGTCATAGGAGGGAGGACGGAGGAGCGAGGAGACGAGGAGGGATATTGAGAAGCACCCACTGACTCACTCACTCACTGACTCATTCACTCACTGACTCAATCACTCACTGACTCACTCACTCACTGACTCATTCACTCACTGACTCACTCATTCACTGACTCACTCACTCACTGACTCACTCACTCACTGACTCAATCACTCACTGACTCAACTCACTCACTCACTGACTCACTCACTCACTGACTCATTCACTCACTGACTCACTCATTCACTGACTCACTCACTCACTGACTCACTTACTCACTGACTCACTCACTCACTCACTCACTGACTCACTGACTCACTGACTCACTCACTCACTCACTGACTCACTCACACACACACACACACACACACTAACTCACTCACTCACTCACTCATACGTACTCTCTCACACACACACACACACACACACTCACTCATTCACTCACACACAAACTCTCACACACACAGTTTTTTGTTTTGGAATGTTCGAAAGCTTCATTTTGAAGCTAAACGGTGTAATTTGGACTCTTCTTGAAGTCGCATCTGTCACTCGGGTGTGTTTGAGTCTCGTCTGCTTTGATAAGAGTGTGTGCGGAGAGTAAAAGCGCTCGAGTCTTTGCTGGAGAGTGTGAAAGAGGAACGCTGAACTCGTCTCAGACTCGGAGCGCTGTGGAGGTTTGATCTGAGATCCTCCCGTGACTCCAGAGGCTCGTCTGAAACGACAGGCTTTGATTCACTCACGGTGTGTGTGTGTGTGTGAGAGATCACGTCCTCAGTCAGCTTTATGTGGAAGCTTTTTCATTTCGTGTGTGTTGTCCCTTTAATATTTATATTGATTTTATTTCAGCTTAGTTTCAATTAAAAGAAATGTTGTTAACCGTCTGGTGTGTCGGTCAAAAATGAAACGAATGTACAATATTTTAGTTCGATAATGTTTTTTATTTAATATTTAGTATTTTTATGGTATTGTATGACACTACAGTATACGTGCGCTGTATTTATAATCCATTTATTCACATTTTGAGCATTACGACTGAAACTGGTGAATCTGGAACGTTTTAGAGGACAGACTGAAGATCTCTACTCAAACACGACACTTGCAGATTATTCCTGAAGTCAGAAACATTTATTGTTATGAAAAATCCACAAAAATACTATTTTCAATTTTTATATGAAATATGTTTTTTGTGAATGTGAGCCGTATCTCAGTGAATGATCTTCCAGTGAGATGTTGTTTAGCTGCAGTTCCAAACGCGTCCACTAGAGGAAACTCGCTCTTCATTTCCAGTGCGCCGTTTCTGGCCGCGAGGAGCACCAGTGTGAATATTGTTACAGGACCATTAAACCTGTTCACATCATGACCCTGATTTATGTGTGTGTTCACACAGCAAGTGCCGAAACCTGTAGCGAGTTAGTAGAAAATAAAAAAAGAACATTTTTGGGTAGTTTCAGTTGTAGTTAAGGATAATAACACTGTTGATCATAAGTGTGTGTGTGTGACTCCACAGGATCTGTTTGCTCTGGATATGGAGCCGTATCGGTTCAGTGGAGTGAACATGACGGGTTTCCGGATCCTGAACACCGAGAGTCAACAGGTTTCGTCCATCATCGAGAAGTGGAGCATGGAGAGACTACAGGCGCCGCCCAAACCAGACTCAGGCCTGCTGGACGGGTTCATGACGGTGAGTGAGTGTGTGTGTGTGTGTGTGTGTGTGTTTGTGAGTGAGTGAGAGAGTGAGTGAGAGTGAGTGAGTGTGAGTGAGTGTGTGTGTCTGTGTGTGTGTGTGTGTGTCAGCAGTTTCATATATACTCACATATACACCAGTTTACTGTGTTTGGGAGTATTAACCGTCTTCCAGTTTCTTCGATCTGGAAATCCCACAGAGAAATGCTCTCAAACTCGGCTCAGATCTGCAGTAAATCATCAGCTGAACTATTATTAACATGAGTAGATGGAGGACTGGGCTTCATAATAAATAAGCGCTGTAAGTGTGGAGACGTGAGTGTGTGTGTGTGGAGACGTGAGCTGATGAAACGCTTCATTAGCGTTACGGATGTTTATGACTGAGTGAATCTGCTCTTCAGATTTAATCAGACTCTCGGATAATGGGACTCGTCGGCGGGAGGAAAGTTCATCTGCAGTTTGTTGTCTGTCATTTAAAGACAAAGAGATGAAGCCGGTGATTTGATATCAGATGCGAGTTTATAATAATGAGTTAACCCTATAAAGCCTGCTGTGTTATATCTGATGCATGCGGCTCTAAAGCTTCTTTGAGTTTTAATCAGAAAGCATTTAAATTAGTGCAACGATCAATCACATCCATAATAAAAGTGTTTACATAACATATGTGTGTGTGCTGTGTTTTATAACTATTTTGTATATATAAATACACACACACACGTGTATATTGTGTGTGTATATATATATATATATATATATATACATAATTTATATTGTATAAATATATTTTTTTAAATATAATTTTTTTCTTAAATATATACATGCATGTGTGTGTATTTATATATACAAAATAGTTATACACTGCACACACACACACACATATATTATGTAAACACAAACTTTTACTACAGTTGTGATTAATCGTTGCCCTGCACTAATTTAAATATCATCTTAATAAGACATTATTGGCAGATATAGAGTGACGATTCATATTTATATGCATTTGATGTCAGTATCTTCTATTTGCATATTTTTGCTAACTTTGGGCCTCTGAATAAAATGTAGATTTTTCATCATATTCTCACTATATCAGACTATATGAGCCATAAACGCCTGATGTATCAAATATGATGCTCAACAAAAAACACACGCAAACTTAATTTTTAGATTTCCTTAAAGTATTTAATAAACGGTTGCATTTAAAAACAAAGAAAGCTTTACAGGGTTAACAGTGCCGGTTCTCCTGTTCTGATCCTGTTGCTGTTGCCATGGAGACGCTCTTCATTGGAACGCTGTTGCCATGGAGATGCTCTTCATCGGAATGCTGTTGCCATGGAGACGCTCTTCGTTGGAACGCTGTTGCCGTGGAGACGCTCTTCGTTGGAACGCTGTTGCCGTGGAGACGCTCTTCGTTGGAACGCTGTTGCCGTGGAGATGCTCTTCATCGGTAACGCCGCGCCTGTTCGGCTCCGAGAGAAAAACACAATCTGGCAACTTTTAAAAACACACCCTTCATGAAGACGAGCTAAACCTGATTTGAGAATTTTTTTTACTTCTTTTGAGAAGTTAAAACTTTAACTATGCGTGTGTGTTTGTGAAATAGAGAGAATGTCTGTGTGTTTATTTGTGCATGTGTCAGACAGAGTGTGTGTGTGTGGGTGAGGATGTGTGAGAGTGTGTGTGTGTGTGTGTGTGTGTGTGAGAATGTGTATCTGTTTGTGAGTGTGTGGGTGTGTGAGTGTTAATTTTTTGTTTATACAGTAAAAAAGATATAAAATATCACATACCATCAAACTGAAAGTCAATAGAGAGAGAGAGAGAGAGAACCCCCCCCTCTCTCTCTATCATCTTGACAACCGTTGCTGCCAGTGAGTTGCCATGGAAACCGTTGCTGGTGTGGTGAATCTTTGTTGCTAGGGTACAGCAGGATGCCTGTGATGGGACTAGGGTTTCCCTGGTGATTTCAGTCCTGTGATTGGTTCTAATTAAACACTGTAGTAATGAAGAGCTCATCATCATCCTGTAGTCTATCAGAGCACAGCTCAACACACACACACACACACACACACGGCTGATTTCAACACGTCACACACATGCAGAGACTGAAAACACTGTAGGAACGTCTCCAATTCTTCTGTCTGAGCTGGAAGCCATCATTAGACACACACACACACACACACACATACACTTACAAACACACACCCACTCAAGCTCACTCACTCACTCACTCTCTCTCTCACGCACACACTCAAACTCACACACACATTATCCAGAAGAGCAGTAATGAGAGGAGCATCCTCTTGGTAACAGTGTGTGTGTTTAAATTGTCAGTCATGGGATCTATTTATGAGCCTTAAGGATCTCACACTAATTGGGACGAGTGGTTGCGTGTGTATGTGTGTGTGTGATGGGTTTGGTTAGGGGTTGGGTTAGAGTGTGTGTGTGTGTGTGTGTGTGTGAGATGGGTAGGGTTAGTGTTGGGGAACGGAAGATACAGTTTGTACAGTATAAAGACCATTACACCTATGGAATGTCCTCACAAGTATAGCTAACCAAACCTGTGTGTGTGTGTGTGTGTGTGTGTGTGTGTGTGTGTGTGTGTGCAGACGGACGCTGCGCTCATGTACGATGCGGTTCACGTTGTCGCTGTGGCCGTCCAGCAGTCGTCTCAGATCACGGTCAGTTCTCTTCAGTGTAACAGACACAAACCCTGGCGCTTCGGCGGGAGATTCATCAGCCTCATCAAAGAGGTACACACACACACACACACACATCATTAGCATATACTGCTCTTAAAGTGGCAGTGCAAATATTTATATATATTTGCATATAGAAGATCCATGAGCTTCATTAAACATCTCAGCGAGTTCAGAGATCTATACGTATATTAGTGTCGTTACACAGAGCTGTTATTAAATATCAGATGAGAAATCATGAACAGAGATGAGTGAGAAACACCATATTCAGCTCTTACAGTGGAACATTCATATGAATATTAGATTAAACCCAAACTAGTTGATGCCTTGATGAAACTAAATTCAAATGAAAATCAACTTAAATTAAAATATTAATACACAAAAATAATAGAAATCACAAAAAAATAAAAACAAAATATGAAAAAAGTCTAATAAAAAAATTAAAACTATAATAGTATGTAAAATGTAGATAATACTAAAAAGAATTATTTTTAGCTGAAATAAAATATAAATATTAGAATATTAGAATAAAAAACAAATTTGCCTGATTTATATAAATCAGTTTGATCTGATAAAAGTGATTGTTTTCTCTGTGTGTGTTTGTGTGTGTGTGTGTGTGTGTGTGTATCATTATCTCAGACATAAATCACTCTTTGTCTTTGACTGCAGGTGTGTGTGTGTGTGTGTTCTGCGCAGTAATGTTCAGATGGAGAGTCTTCTGTGTGTTCCTCAGATCTTTGGACTCATAGCTGGTAATTTGTGGAAATGACGCACTGAACCTGCAGTGTTTGCAGTCAACCATCATCCTGAGGAACAATGCGTCTCACACACACACACACACACACACACAGAGAGAGAGAGAGAGAAAACACTGCCAATAAAACGCAATAAGATTAATATAGAGAGAAATGAACACATTCTGATATAAAGCCTCTACTATACGTGAATAATAATAATACATTTGATTTGTAATGCTCTTTTCTGACATCCAAAGCACTATACTAAAATAAACAGAAATATCAATTATTTATTTATTTAATGAGTTAAATTGTGAAATATTATTAATTTATAAATATTTATATATCCCTGATATCTCGTCAGGCATCATGGGACGGACTAACGGGGCGAATCCTCTTCAACAAAACCAACGGCTTGAGGACCGACTTCGACCTGGACGTGATCAGCCTCAAAGAGAATGGCCTCGAGAAGGTGTGTGTGTGAGAGAGAGAGAGTGGTTTTTTGTGATAATATATGAGTGAATTTGTGTGTGTGTGTGTGTAAGTAGTTTTTTTGTGATAATATATAAGTGAATTCATATATTGGTGTGTGTGTGTGTTGCACAGATCGGGACGTGGGACCCTCCGCGTGGACTGAACATGACAGAGAATCACAAGAGTAAAATCACCAACATCACAGACTCGCTCGCCAACAAATCACTGCGCGTGTCCACCATACTGGTAAACACACACACACACACACACTCTCTCTCAGCCACATTCATTTATCTATTTTAATCTTATTATTCATTTGTTCAAAAGAAATGTACATGGTTTTCTGATTTTCTGTACACGCTGTTGTCCACATGCAATATGTGTGATATTATGAGGAATATTTAACATTTGTAGACAAAATTAACCTAAAAAATGGACCTAAATTACCTAAATCTAATTTTTGCATGAACTATTTTCGATTTTTTTGATTTTGACTCACTGTAAACACAGTTCTGCTAATCACGTAACTAATGAACGCGATGCGTGTGTGTGTGTGTGTGTGTGTTCAGGAGGAGCCGTACGTGATGTTCAAGAAGTCGGATAAGCCGCTGTACGGTAACGACCGCTTCGAGGGCTTCTGTGTGGATCTGCTGCGCGAGCTAGCGGCGATCCTGGGCTTCCGCTACGAGATCCGGCTGGTGGAGGACGGCAAGTACGGCGCCTTCGAGGAGAACACGGGCCAGTGGAACGGCATGATCCGCGAGCTCATCGACCACGTGAGTCACACACACACTACCAGTCAAAAGTTTTCAGTAAGATTTTTATTGTTTTTAAATAACACTGACTTAAACAGCATTATCATCAAAAAAGAAGAAGAAATATATATATATATATATATTCACTTTAACTTAAACAGCATTATCATCATCAAAAATTTTATATATATTTATATATACATTTTATATATTTTGTATATTCATAATTAATGTTTTTATATATATATTATTATTATTAATGTTATTATTAATATCTTAAGGGAGCATTACTCTTTATTGTATTTGGTGCCTTCTTGACCGAGAAAAGACAAAGTAATTTTAGGGCTCATTTATATGAAAGACAACAACTCCCACAATGCACCACATTGCACAGCTCCGCAAGCCACTCCCATTAATCCAGAACAGCGCCTATGAGGTATCCGCCTATCAGAGAAATCACGCCATTTGGCCATCGTTTAAAAGAAGTCTCTGCATATACTTGAAATATTATTAGAATGTGAAATATATTTTAACCGTTTCCAACACTGATCATAATCATAACTGTGTGTTGATCATCAGATCCTCATATTAGAGCGATTTCTGAAGGGTCATGTGACACTGAAGACTGGAGTAATGATGATAAATTCAGGAATAAAGTACACGTTACTGTATATTCACATAGAGAACAGATGATTTACATTAGAATAATATTTCACTGTTTTCCTGTATTTTTGTTTAGTTTTTATCAAAAAAACGGAGCCTCGGTGATTCATTTGAATCTTTTGTTTGGTTCTGAAGCTTCAGTGGTTGTTGCTGCTAGAGAAGTGTCATTGGTGTGTCGTGTTGGTGATTGACAGAAAGCAGACCTGGCCGTGGCGCCGCTGACCATCACGTACGTGCGAGAGAAGGTGATTGACTTCTCCAAACCCTTCATGACTCTGGGAATCAGCATCCTCTACCGCAAACCCAACGGCACCAACCCCGGCGTGTTCTCCTTCCTCAACCCCCTGTCCCCTGATATCTGGATGTATATTCTTCTGGCTTGCTTGGGTGTCAGTTGTGTGCTGTTTGTCATAGCCAGGTAACATGTGACCTCGCGCTAGTGTGTGTGTGTGTGTGTGTGTGACCGTCTTCATCCTCATGCATCCTCAGTCTCGGGAAACCGGGCGGTTTGTGTCTGAAATGTAATTAAATTAACCCGTGAGATTTGGATGGCATCAAAGTTCAAAGCACATGATTTCCAGCAGCCGCTCAGCGCCGGCGTTTAGTGTTACTGGCGAGACGTGACCAATGCAGAGCCACGACTGTCACCTAAGTTAGTTTGGAATATGCACAGTGTGTTTGTGAGGCATTCTGGGTAAGTTCTGGATGATTCCAGCTGTATTTGTGCAGAATGATGTGATGTCGACAGCTTCCCGCTCATGTTTGCTCCGCTCTATAATTGCAATATTGACTTTTCAACTGCTTTATTGATTAGAAAAGCCCTGAATTACCTCTAAACACACATAGATGTTCCTGAACCTGCACACACACACACACACACACCGAGAACTGGAGTTATTTTATATTCTGATGCATCCTATAGAAAGAGTCACTTAGAAAAAAAAAATATTATATGATATATTACAGTTTTTTCCAATTGCTAACACACAATTTTGCAAACTAGTCTGGTTTTATCAAAACCACAAAACCACACACCCAAACTGCAAAATACCTCATATATCCTGCAAAATGAAGCACTGCAACCGAAACTACACAACTTTTGCATGAAATGGCACACACTTCATTCATATGACCAGATTTTTGCCTAAACAACTACACACTGTTGGGCATAATGAAAAGCACTCTTATCTTTAGGATGCTGTGCCATTATACTAAAATATGTATCAGATTGTTCACCTGCACAGAAATATTTGCAGACACACACATGCTGTTGAAACTTCATTTTACAGTAATGTATTTTATTACTACAGTAAACAAGTCAGTGCAACGTATGCACAGCAGAAATATTTACATGGGACTGAAAAAAAAATACTTACAAAAAAAACAGTAAACTGAAAAAGAAACTTCCAGAAAATATATTACAGTAAAAAAAAGCGACAAGAAAAATAATTTTTATAGTTTTTATAGTGCTTACATCCTGATTGAAGTGTTCACAATGGCCAGATGGCACATGTAATTGGCCAATTAGTGTCATTTTGAATGGTAGTGTTTTGACTTTATGTCCGATTGTTGTGTCTTATGCAGAGAACTGTGTTCAGTGCATTTAAAAAGTGGCATTTTGAAATGCAAAATGTGTGTAAAGCAGAAAATGTGAAGAAGTTTTGCTCTCTGTGTGTCTGTTTAAAGAAGTGTGCTGTGCATGTCATTTTAGTGTGTTAGCAATTGGAAAAAACTGTAATATCCTATTTTAACCTCAACACTTTTCTGACTGAACCACTCAGTGTTCATATACAGTACAAACACACACACACACACTCTCACACACACACAGCCGATATAAGGAGAGTCTGAGCAGAGCATGTGAGTGTTAGATGTGTGTGTTCACTGGTGACGTCATGATCAAACTCGCCGCCTTTAAATCTAAAATCTACACACACACAAAAAACAGAAGTGCCGTAAAATAAACACTTAAATGTGTGTTTGATGTTTTCTGTTATAGAGCTCGAAACTGAGCAGTGCATAAACAACTGTGTGTCTGAAATATTAATGTTTGCTGTCAGTGTGTTAATGTGTGTGTGCTGTGACAGTAAATGCTTGCATCCGTGTGTGTGTGAGTTTGTTACAGTAATGTGTGTGTGTGAGTGTGCGGTGACTGAGTGTGTGCTGTGACAGTAAACGTGTGAGTGTGTGTGTGTGTGTGTGGTGACACGTGACCGTAAAGGCGTGAGTGAGTGAGTGTGTGTGTGTGGTGACAGTAAACGCGTGAGTGTGTGTTCTCGCGCAGGTTCAGTCCGTACGAGTGGTATAATCCTCATCCCTGCAATCCCGACTCGGACGTGGTGGAGAACAACTTCACTCTCCTCAACAGCTTCTGGTTTGGTGTCGGAGCTCTCATGCGTCAGGGTGAGCTGTGAACACACACACACTCGCACACACACACACTCACTGTGGTCTCTCTTTAAGATCGGAGCTCATGCCGAAGGCTCTCACACACACACACACACACACTCACTGTGGTCTCTCCTCAGGATCGGAGCTCATGCCGAAGGCTCTGTCCACCAGGATCGTGGGAGGGATCTGGTGGTTCTTCACGCTGATCATCATCTCCTCGTACACGGCGAATCTGGCGGCGTTCCTGACGGTGGAGCGAATGGAGTCGCCCATCGACTCGGCGGACGATCTGGCCAAGCAGACCAAGATCCTGTACGGCCTGGTGGAGGACGGCGCCACCATGACCTTCTTCAAGGTACTGCATTCAGTCCTGCACCAAAGACAGCTAGTGGTCGAGATCGGCACTGCAGTCCAAATGCAGAATATCAGAGATCGTTGTTTCGACGCTCCTGAGCGGACAAACGCGTTTGGTCACTGTGTTGTTCTTCATGATCAGAAGCTGCTAAAGTCAGCGAGTAAAACACTGACACGATGATGAACAAGTCACAATAATATTCGCCGTTTTACTGAATAATTATAGGGTTAGTTCACCCAAAAATAACTCCAACCCCGTAAGACCTTCGTTCATCTTCGCAACACAAATTAAGATATTTAAGATATTAAGATCGCTCCTGCATACAGTCCATAGGCTTCTTGAGGGAATGACTCTTGATGGCCTCGAAAAGTCATTAAAGACATCGTTAAAATAGTCCAAGTGACTACAGGGGCTCAATCTTAACTTTATCAAACGACGAGAACACTTTTGTGCGCAAAAACAAACTTTATTTACAACTATTCACTTCCTTCTCCATGAGCCTGTAGTCAGTTAACGTAGTGTGATTGCGTAGAGCTACGTCACACGTAGGCTCACTATTGGCCGACGCTGGTCATGTGTGTGTGATGCGTGTGACGTACAATAACAGAAGCTTACGCTATTAAACTAGTAACCTGACTCGCGCAGAGGGAGAAATAAACCAATAGTTGAAATAAAGTCGTTATTTTTGTTGCGCACAAAAGTGTTCTCGTCGTTTGATAAAGTTAAGATTGAGCCCCTGTAGTCACTTGGACTATTTTAACGATGTCTTTAATGACTTTTCGAGGCCATCAAGAGTCATTCCCTCAAGAAGCCTATGGACTAGTATACAGGAGCGATCTTAATATCTTAAATATCTTAATTTGTGTTGCGAAGATGAACGAAGGTCTTACGGGGTTGGAACAACATGAGGGTGAGTAAATACTGACAGAATTTTCATTTTTGGGTGAACTAACCTAACTTATTAATGTATCTTTGTGAAGAAACCTCATCGTTTAACTGGCTACTCTCTCCACATCACTTCCTGTGTCGGCCACCGTAACTTCTGTTGGGTGCAGTTCGCAATCTCACCACTAGATGCGCTAGACACCACACACTGCAGCTTTAACTGGCTAACGTAAAGTTCTCTGTGTGCGCTTTGCGGTAGAAAACCAAGATCTCCACGTACGATAAGATGTGGGAGTTCATGAAGAGTCGCAGTCAGTCTGTGATCGTGAAGAGCGTGGAGGAGGGCATCCATCGAGTGCTGACGTCGGATTACGCTTTCCTGATGGAGTCGACGGCCATCGAGTTCGTCACGCAGCGCAACTGCAACCTCACGCAGGTCGGAGGACTCATCGACTCCAAGGCCTACGGCGTGGGAACTCCCATGGGTAACACACACACAGATGGTTGATGGATTGAATCTCCACCTCCGCATCACACACACACACACGTCGACTGATTCCTCTCCCTGTCCCGCAGGCTCCCCGTATCGGGACCGCATCACCATCGCGATCCTCCAGCTGCAGGAGGAGGGGAAGCTGCACATGATGAAGGAGAAGTGGTGGCGGGGCAACGGCTGTCCCGAGGAGGAGAGTAAAGAGGCCAGCGCTCTCGGCGTGCAGAACATCGGGGGAATCTTCATCGTTCTGGCCGCCGGGCTCGTGCTGTCCGTGTTCGTGGCCGTCGGCGAGGTGCTCTACAAGTCCAGGCAGAACGCTCACATTCAGAAGGTACTTAAACATCAGCCAGTTTAACACACTACTGACTCACTCGACCAGGCCCCGCCCCTTTCCTGCATATGAATTATTATAATGAGGAATATTGTGACGTGTTCGTTCCCGGAAGAAACTCCAGACTACAATGGAGGAGTTCAGAAACACTGACACTGATATAGAGAAGAACTTCTTGCTCAAACAGCTGAATTCATTTGTGTATTTACCTATTTTTTATATTTATTTAATTATTGATTTTATTTATTTTCTTGTTTATTTGCATTCATAAAATATTATTTTATCAATTTGTGTATTTACCTTATGTTCTTGTTTTTATTTATTTGTTTGTGTATGTACTTGTTACGGAGGCGTATTGCATTCACTTGAAGAAAAAAAATCTACTGTTTTTCTGAATTAACGAGTTGATTTTTCTTAAGAAAAAAAGTTTTTGCTCTGTTTTTCTGAATTAATGAGTTAATTTTTCATGAGAAAAAAAAAATTTGTTCTGTTTTTCTGAATTAATGAGTTAATTTTTATGGATATTTTTTTTTTGCTCTGTTTTTCTGAATTAACGAGTTAATTTTTCATGAGAAAACATTTTTTTGCTCTGTTTTTCTGAATTAATGAGTTAATTTTTCATGAGAAAAAAAGATTTTGCTCTGTTTTTCTGAATTAATGAGTTAATTTTTATGGATATTTTTTTTTTGCTCTGTTTTTCTGAATTAATGAGTTAATTTTTCGTGAGAAAAAAAGATTTTGCTCTGTTTTTCTGAATTAACGAGTTAATTTTTCATGAGAAAAAAAGTTTTTGCTCCGTTTTTCTGAATTAATGAGTTAACTCAGAAAAACAGAGCAAAAAAAATCCATGAAAAATTAACTCGTTAATTCAGAAAAACAGAGTAGATTTTTTTTCTTCAAGTGAATGCAATACGCCTCCGTACTTGTTTTATATTAATTAATATACCCGTTTATTTCTTTATTCATTTATTTATTTTTGTTTTTACATGTTTAACATTTTAAACAGTTATCGGTAAATACACAAATTGTAAATACATAAATTTTTATTGATTAATTTGTTTATTTGCCCATTTTATATTTATTTATTTTAATACTTTAAATTGAACTATAATCTAATTTGATAAAAAAGGAACTGATGATGGAAGTCAACACAACAAATGTTTAAATACACAACCTTTTACATGCAAAGCCATTATATTTAAAAATAGTTCCCCCATTAATGAGTATTTCAGTCATTATTTACTATAATAATGACCTGAGCAGGTGTGTGTGTGTGTGTGTGTGTTCACCTGTCTTATGTTGATTTCTCTAGCGCTCGTTCTGCAGTGCGATGGTGGAGGAGCTCAGGGTGTCTCTGAAATGCCAGCGGCGGCGGAAACAAAAGCCTCAACCTCCCGCCATCGTCAAAACAGAAGAGGTCATTAACATGCACACCTTTAACGACAGGAGGCTCCCGGGGAAAGAGACCATGGCCTGAGATCCCGCGGGATCCTCCTGTAACTCTCGTCCCGACGACGGACACAAAGATGTTTCCTGTGGAAATCCGGATACGCGAGCGACTCGGTGATCGGTCTCTCTCTGTCCTGCGGCGTCCTGTGTTGCTTATCTCTGTTTTCTCTGTGAAAGACATGTAGGATGCTGTGAAATGAAGTAGATGTTAAACGGATCGGTTTTGATGTGAGAGAAACGCTGCCTTCAAGAGCGCCGGATGACGACAGACTCCCAGAACTTCTCCAAACGTTTATTAGACGTTGTTATTGGTAGGGACGCACGATGTATGGGTATCGGCCGCATAAGTAAATGTAGCCGATATATTAAATCTGATAAATAATGTAATATTTCCTTCAGCTGAGACGCTTCAGATGCGCGGTTCAACATGATGGATTTGAATTGCACTTCAAAAAAGGAAAATACAGTAAAGTCATATCGGCTACGGAACATTATAACATTATGATTGTGTGTTTGGGACGTGGATTTTAATGGTGAGACTTTTGTTTTTGTAATCAGGCTCTTAAAAATTAAATAAAAATATGGATTTAGATTTTATCAGCCTTCAGCTTTCAAATATAAAGAATTATCGGTATCGGCCAAAATGTTCATATCGCTGCAACCCTAGTTATTAGACGTTTATTTAGACGTTTAGAGAAAGTTCTTGTTAGTTTTGTCACATAGACGCCTTCCTGCAATGTTTTTAGAATGTTTGTTACTCAAAATAGAACCTTGAAAGAACGTTCCATGGAATTGTTAGATGTCAAAAGTCTTGATCCTGATCTGATGTGCGTGAACGAAAACTGACAAATACAGGAAGCGTTTTTGCATCAATGCAACAAAATGATGAGTAAGAGACCGCTAAAGCTGGAAGGCAGAATGTGTTAAACACAGAAATTAATTTAATTAAAATTATCTTACGCAATAATGTCTTTTAAAACCTTCATCTTTTCCTCGCACTTTGTAGCACATCTTTCCCTTGCGGGTCAAAATGACCCGAAGCCCTAAAAGTATATATTTTGTTGTTGTCCAGAAAACTTATTTTGTTTCATTTTGATAATATTTTTTACATTTTTTTTATGCAATTTTTTGGGGAAATTTTTTTTTTCCCATTCCCCAACTTAAAAACAAAATAACTCAAATTTCATGCATAACCCTTTTAATTCAGCTCTAGCAATCTTACATTGTGAGTGTTTGACCTCTTGTGGAAATAAAATAATAATAACACATGATTTAAAGCCAGTTTCTCTTCAGTGCACATTCAGACACACGTGCACTCATTAAATAAATGATTTTTGGTACATTTTTAGCATTTTTATTTAGAATTTTGAGCATATTTATGTTTTTCTATGTGTACTGAAGAATTCCTCACTTTCATTCATTCCTAAGGGGCTCAAATTGACCCACAAGGGAAGCATTTGTTACTCTTTTAAATTTTAACCCACAAAACTCCTCAAATCCTTTTCATTTTCTTGTGTGTATTCGTGGTTCAAGTGCGACAAACGTCCTGGGGTCTTGGACACTCAATTTGTAAAAAAGAGTTTCGGGTCAAAATGACCCGATTGAAGACGGATGACGTTGGAGCGCACAGAAACGCCACATGAATACTGACTTGAAGGCACCAGTAAAATACACGAAACAATGTCTGTCAGTTGTATGTCGTGCTAAAGGCTGCGTCCTAAATCACATACTTCTCTGCTATATAGTGGATGAAAAGCAGTATGTGTGCTGAAAGTACCCGTACGACCTGCTATTTCCGGTGGGATTCTGAAGTGTGCATCTGATGGACACTTTATGACTGTGAATGCCGACTTGGCACATGCACTACATCAGGATCGCATTCATACTCTATAGAACATGCTTTTTTAGTGGTCGCAAAGTCATTCCTGGCCATTTGGGACGCAGCCGCATTCACACTCGGAGTCATGAAGATCAACCACTCAAACCAAAGTTCTGTCGTTTAGATAAACTTCAACTTTTCTAGGAAAACTTTCTACTAGCGTCCATTCTGTCCGTCACAGGCAACTCGACTTTGTCATTCAACGGAGATTTATATCGAGAAAAAAAGAGAAAAGCAGTTTTTGTACAGACAAATTTTGTAGTAAATCTTTATATTGCTGTGTCTGATGCATATGTAGGTTAAAGAGGACGGCTGCGCATTAGACACCCCCCCCCCCCCCCATACACACACGTCCATCTAGCCGAGAGCAAGCAGCTTTTCTATCCCAGACAGCAACATAGTTCGGGCCCACATCTGACCCACATCCGGCTCTCATCCGGCCCACATCTGACCCACATCCGGCTCTCATCCGGCCCTACATCTGACCCACATCCGGCTCTCATCCGGCCCTACATCTGACCCACATCCGGCCCACATCTGACCCACATCCGGCTCTCATCCGGCCCACATCTGACCCACATCCGGCTCTCATCCGGCCCTACATCTGACCCACATCCGGCTCTCATCCGGCCCTACATCTGACCCACATCCGGCCCACATCTGACCCACATCCGGCTCTCATCCGGCTCACATCTGACCCACATCCGGCCCACATCCAGCTCACATCCGGCTCACATCTGACCCACATCCGGCTCTCATCCGGCCCTACATCTGACCCACATCCGGCCCACATCTGACCCACATCCGGCTCTCATCCGGCTCACATCTGACCCACATCCGGCCCACATCCAGCTCACATCCGGCTCACATCTGATCCATATCCGGCTCTCATCCGGCCCACATTCGGCTCACATCTGACCCACATCCGGCTCACATCCGATCCATATCCGGCTCTCATCCGGCTCACATCTGAATACGCGTAGAATCCACATGTACCAGATGTGGCCCGGATCCGAGACGACACTGTGTTGCAGTACAAACCCAGACAGCATATTCCCAAGCATATTTTCTGTTTCCGTGTGCTGATGTTTGTGTTTTACCTGACGGCGAGTCTCTCTACTGTATAATAGTGTGCTGAGCAAACACTACGATTTCTCCAAACCGCGTTTAATCTACAGGGAATTGGACCATGTGCAAATTAGCATCGGGTGGAGAACTGGTCAAGCTCATCTTGTAATAAAAAAAAGAGATTATACTGTGTAGAACGTGTCGTTCCCTTTCTGTGTGTGTGTGTGCTCACGGTTTATCATTTTTAATTGTAAATCAAGTTATTCTAGTAGATCAACTGGACTGTCTGTTACTAAAGTCAGTATGAAAGGAAATTTTACACTCTTATTGTGTCGTGTATAGGAGTGAAATGCTTCTGGAACAAGAACAAATGTGGGCGGGACTTGATTTTGTCCGTGGGGAATTGATTGGATGGTTGTGGTTTGCTATTGGTGGATCTCATCAGAGTGACAGGTCATCAGAGAACCAGTTACGGGGAGAGTCACAACACTTTGATTTGAAGCGAAAATGTTTCCGAAAATCAGACAAAAAGACAAAAGTACTTAAAGGCTTTAGTGAGGGAAAGAACTACAATCCCATAAAGCATTGCAAACAGCATGATCGAATTAAAAATGGAGAAATATATAACTACCCATTTAGCGTATAGGTAGATGGACTCGGATTTCATGGGAGTGGGCGGAGCTAAAGAGCTATTTTGACGTAGTTGCTTTTTTCGACTGTGATTAGTGCAATTTGCACAGCATCATGGGTAATGTAGTTTTCACCAGGAATTTCACTCTTAAACAAGATTAAATAGAAAAAATATATAGCAGTAAATAATAAATAAATAATATAGCAGGCTGATTAACCTTGTAGCTCACAGTATGGCTGTCTTTAATGATTTATTAAAGTTAAAGTAAAATTGATTAAAGTTATCCATAAAAATCAATTTCTCTGTGGAGAAAATTAATGGAGGATTTACTCTACAAGACCATCTCTATAGAGGAGATTAGGGGAAGTTATTTTGACTAAACATTACGAATAAAAATCCGATGTGCATATATTTATAATAGCCTTAAATATTGCAATATGTCTTAAAAATAGGCACTGTTCATTTTAATTTCATGGGGACTTTAATAATGTTACAGGCTCTAATAGTTTGTTTGATTTTACTTGTAACATCCAAATATTTTGTGTGTATGTGGAACTTCCTCGTGAACCATCGGTCAGCTGATGCTGCGTCACATGACATGATGCGGTCACATGACCGGCTGACTCACACACACACACACACACAGAGAGAGGGCATTTTACCGCAGCAGAACTGAACCGATCCGACACAGAAAAAAGTGACTTCTGATTCGGAGTGAGAGAACTTCTGGATCCGGATCCGGTGAGTGATGAAACCATGATCAATCGCGTGCATCAGTTTCATTCAGGCTTTTAACTATATTGATTAAACAGATCAACGCAGTTCTACAGAATATCAATACATGTGTAGATTTAAACAATTCTTCTTTTCTATAGGCTATAATGTATGCGATGCACATAGATTCGTGTTGTGCATTTTAGCAGGAAGTGTCTAACAGGAAGTAAAAGACGTGCACATTATTGTGATGAGTTATCATTAAAATTAGATTGATATCGCTGTTTGTTCCAGTAGGCTATATATATATATATAAGTGAGGAAGATTTCTTAAGCTTGGGGTTCTTAAGGATGTCATTACCTGTGTGTGTGAAAGTCACGTGTGTATCATGTGAGTCATGTGACCCTAACAGGTGTTTCTCTCATGATGTTTACAACAGACATTCAAATAAAGCTTTAGTAGTGCAAAATATAATTGAAATGGTCTAATTCCACATTAATGTCTGTTTAATACACAATTATGTAATCATTCAGTGTTTGCGTCAAAAATTCCAATTACAATGTTCATTGTTACATTGGTTTACAGAATTGCTACATTTGGACAAATAGAATGTAACGTCACAGTTTTTTTCACAGTATTTGACATTGAACTGTCTTGATCTAAATAATGTCACTATTGTCTTATGAACTTGAAGGCGTTTCATAATTGAATTCAATACAATCTGTGTAAATAAATGTGACTTGACATTAAATGATATTCTTACTTCCTGTCAAATTCAATTCACGTTTATTTGTGTAGCGCTTTTCACAATACGCATCATTTCATGAAAGTGCACGAGTCCACGTTACAGTTAGGATAGTTCTGTTATCAGTGGAAACTGTCAAAGTTATGTATTTCAAAAATGTGCAAAGTCACAGTTTGCTAAAAATGTATTATTTAAACAATGTAATAATTTAACGAGCTCATTAAAGTAATGAACACAAGGAAAACTTTCTATTCTCTACTCAAACATGTTTATTTAAAATGCCATGCCGTCAGAATGAGTCTGTTATGGTTATGTGTTTCAGACATGCAGGGGTCCGCGCTGACTCTGGTTCTGGCGTTCTCCGCGGCCACCTTGGCTCTTGATAACGGTCTGATGAGGACCCCTCCCATGGGCTGGTTGGCATGGGAACGCTTCCGCTGTGACATCGACTGTGAGAACGACCCGCAGAACTGCATCAGGTGATCCAGAACCAGCCTTTCGTTCACTGATCCAGAACCAGCCTGGTTTTCTGTTTTCTCTTTATTTTTAATAATTCTATGTGCTTTTGTCTATTCTTTTAGTGAGTATTACTATTAAGGTTTAATTCATTTATTTTTAATTAATCAATTTCAGCTTTATTTAATCAAAAAATGTTCTTTTAGTCTATTCTAATCTATTTTAGTTTATTTTTAATACTTTTATGTGCTTCCAGTTCTTTTAGGAAGGATCACTATTAAGGTTTAGTTTATTTATTTTTAACTAATTTAATCAATTTCAGCTTTATTTTATTAACAAAAATGCTTTAGTGTCATTTATTTAGTTTTTATTAAATTTTGAATTAGCTTTTATTGTGTCATTTTCTGTTTTGATTTTAATTTTGATGTATTTATAATCATTTTATTGTGCATTGCTATTGTGTTTTTATTTTATTATTTTGATTCAGTTTATTTTAATTTTAGTTTTAAATTTAGTTATATTTAAAACTAAAAGTTTTAAATTTAAATTTAGTTATAGTTTATTTGTTTAAAACATTAATATTGTTTTAATTTTAGTTAAAAGATATTTAGAATTTTTTTATGTGCTTTTTCAGTTTTGTTTTTTTTAAATATTACTATTTAGGTTCAATTTATTTTAATTTCAGCTTTAATTTAAAATTATTTCAGTAACAGTTTATTGCCAAGGCACCATTTCTAATTTCCATTTACTTTGTTTTCTTATCTAATATTTATCCATATTTTATTTCAGCTTTATTTCAATTAATCAAAATATTTTTATAATTTGTATTAATATTTTGAATTTGCTTTTATATTAATATTTTAATTTTAGTGTATTTTTTTATCTTTTTGTTATTTTTTGATAATTTTTTTTTAAATATGTAATGTTTCATTTCAGTTTTTACTTCAGTTATATTTTATTTGTTAACAGTGAATAATTTCATTGATTTAACTATCATTTATTTCAGGTCATTGCCAAGGAAGAGAAAGTTTCTAATGTTCTTCTAGTCTAAGTGTTTCATCTAATACTGATTCTGTTTTGTTGAACGCATGAAGAATCCTAACGCTGCCGCTGTGTGTGTGTGTGTGTCCCGCAGTGAGGCGTTGTTCACAGACATGGCCGACAGACTGGCGGAGGACGGTTGGAGAGAGCTGGGTTACGTCTACGTCAACATCGACGACTGCTGGTCCTCCAAAGAGAGAGACAATCAGGGCCGACTGCAGGCCGACCCCAAACGGTGCTGACCTCTGACAGTAGAGTCAAGCACTGACACGACGATGTCACAATAATATTCACCGTTTTACTGAATAATAAAGTAAACGTAACTTATTAATTTATCTTTGTAAAGAAACCTCATCGTTTAACTGGCTACTCTCTCGACATCACTTCCTGTGTCGGCCACCGTGCAGTTCACAACCTCACCACTAGATGCGCTACACACCACACACTGCAGCTTTAATAAACATGGGAACTGTGATGAATCGCTCTACAGCAGACTCATGTGATTGTGAATCGATCTGCAGGTTTCCACATGGCATTCCTCATTTGGCGCGTTACATCCATGATCGTGGGTTAAAGCTGGGCATTTATGGAGACATGGGCACACACACGTGTGGCGGATACCCCGGAACAACTCTGGATAAAGTGCAGATGGACGCCCAGACGTTTGCGGACTGGGAAATCGACATGCTCAAGCTGGACGGCTGTTACTCAAACTCCAGCTATCAGGAGCAAGGTGAGGAAACCAACACTAGAGTCCTCATTATAATAATTAATGCGCAGGATAAAGGGGCGGGGCCTGGGTGAGTTAGTTAGTAGTGTGTTAAACTGGCGGTTATGGAAAGGGGCGGGACATACCCAAACACACTCGAAGCGCTCGACCAATTCCTCCGTGTGCCGACCAATCAGAGCGCAGTGTGCTTTCAGGAGGAGGGGCTTCATAGAGACAGGAAGTAAACAGAGCGTTACTGACAGACTGGGAAGAGAGGAGCCGCAACAATGGAGAATATGAGGAGAATAATCAACATTCAAGCAGGAAAACCTGTTCTAGTAGAGAAACGACAACATCACGACTGTGTGAAAGGATAATAGGCAGACATAGTCAAAACTTTTATTCAATTGAAACCGATTGTTTAGTAAAATAATTCAAAAGATGCATAAAAAACACCTTTTACACACCAAATGCTAAAGCTTGATTAATCAGACCAACAGAGACTATAAACTACAGACGATTCATTATACAACGTGCCGTTAAATGACTACAAGTTTATAAAACAGGTAAAAAATCATGAACAGAAACAGTCACGTCAACTCTAATCAGCTTTATTCAGTTATTTGTTTACGGATGACGTCGCGCTCATGTTTTTTACAGTCTATGTCTGGCGATGGTTTCTGTTCTCATGATCTTTTGTTGATTATATTCAAACACAGGTTATCCAATGATGTCGAAGGCCCTGAACGCTACGGGCCGTCCCATTGGCTACTCCTGCAGTTGGCCCGCCTACCAGGGCGGCCTCCCTCCTAAAGTGAGTCCATATCTGGAGTGTCTCTAGTCGGACACATGATGAACTGTATTGTACGACTAACAGGAGTGTATCGTGTCACAATATATCGCAATATAAAAAAGCACCAATATGTATTGTGGATAGTGTAGTTCACTCAAGATTAAAATGAGTTTTAGTGTCAGTACTCCATTAAACTACTGTATATAATGTATAATAATCAGGCTTCTCAAGTCTCACGCATTGGCCGTGAGACACACTCATTTCGACCGGTTCACACGCTCACACGCCACACTGTGTATTTCTCACGCTGAAAAGGCAATGCCAACCAAGTTGTCCTGGCTGAAAGCTTTCTAACGTTGTATACGAGGCGCAGGCAAACAAAGTGAAGTTTCCTGCCGCCAGCACGTATCTCCGCCAGATTGCGTTCGTTACTAGGCAACATATATGCGCGCTGCGTGCACCACTGATCTATACATGACATGTCATTCAGTAGCGCGAACACACGGAAATGGACGGAACATCCTCGGTCACCGTACGTTCGTTACTAGGTAACCAACAACATCGCCCGAACACACGTGTCGTGATGGAGAAGAAGGTAAGTTGGAAGAAGCTCGTCTAACATTTTTGGGCTAGAACATTTAATATGTAGCCCATCGTACATTATTATTGATGCAGTCAAAAACTCTACAACTACTTTGCAACCAGGCTCAGTTTGGCTATCTTACGTTATCTGAAACTAAGAGAAATGTTAGTGGGTATGGAAAGGAATGAAGATTTACTGATTTTATTTTAAATTATATTATACTGTAATATTAATAGTCTTTCTAGTTACATTAAGGATGTATTACAGCAGATTGCTCTGGGTAATATTTAATCATTGTCATAATGTTGCATTTGTATTTTTCAAAGATGTCAGGAAAAAAGCAGAAAGATATTTTGTCATTTTGGGCACCAAAGGGTAAGCCCCCTAAAAAGGTTGCCAGATTAGAGGAGGAGACAGTGGAAGAGGTGGTGCACTCTAATCTGTCCATTTGTTCTCAATGTCCCACCACACAATAAATCATTCGTCTAGATAGAAGACGCATTCAAAAATCAAAATGCAATTTTTAAAGATTTGTTTGAAACTGTTTGGAGCAATTTGTTATATTTTTGGTTAGCTATATTTGTAATACTGCATTAAAGAGTATTTGATGTGATGAATTGCTCTGTCATTTATCAGATTTACTAATTGTTATAATTTTAATTTGTTCTGGTTAATTATGAACAATGGGTAAAATTGGGGGCGGGGATGGGTGGGGCGGGGCTTCATTATGGCTCCTCCCCTAACCACGTGTGATCTCACTCCAAGCTTTTGCTCAAACTTGAGAACCCTGTAATAATGCATATTAGTGTGTCCTGATAATGCCACGTCTTGTTACCAGTAAAAGTGGCCTATACATTAGTTTAAATAGATCTAATCAGTGAAAGAGTGCAAGCATTCGTCTAAAATAATGATATTTTCAGCTTCAGGATCATGAATATTGTTATTTTGGTGTCTCTATTGTTCATTGGGTTTCAGCAGCAAGTCCAAGTCTATTCATTTACACACATAATATAAACACACACCAGAGGGCGTCTCTCACACACACACACACACACACACCACATATCACATATCTATCTGAACACCAGAGGGCGTCACACACACACACTCTACGTATCTATCTGAACACCAGTGGGCATCTCACACACACACACACACACACACACACCACACACCACATATCTATCTGAACACCAGAGGGCGTCACACACACAAACAAATAATCAATTTTAGCATTTTAATCAACAGTTTTTTGTATCACGTGTCTTGTAGTATGTCAGTAATATGGTGTGGTGAGTTCAGTGTGGTGATGTGTGTGTGTGTGTGTGTGTCGGGATGTGTTCCTCAGGTGAACTACACACTGCTGGGTCAGATCTGTAATCTGTGGCGGAACTACGGTGACATCCAGGACTCGTGGGATAGTGTACTGGGAATCGCGGACTGGTTCTTTGACAATCAGGACGTCCTGCAACCGGTGGCCGGACCGGGCCAGTGGAACGACCCCGACATGGTGATCATCGCCACTGCCACAACAATCCCATCTCTGCTCACACACCATTCTGATGCACACAATGTTGTAAACACAAAAATCCAAACCAGATTTATCCGCAAATTTGAATTAGCTGAAGTGCGACGGTCCAGGGTCACATGTGATCAAACGATTGGATCTGTGCATTAAGAAATGCAGCCACTGACAGCCATGATTTATGCTAATGAATAATGATTTATTTACTCATTTGCATTCTCCTCAGTTGCTGATTGGAGACTTCGGCCTCAGCCTGGACCAATCGCGCACTCAGATGGCGCTGTGGGCGATCATGGCCGCGCCTCTCTTCATGTCCAACGACCTGCGTACGATTAGCAGCGCCGCTCGCGCAATCCTGCAGAATAAAGCCGCCATCGCCATCAATCAGGACCCGTTGGGTGTCCAGGGCAGACGCCTGTTCAAGGTCAGTGGTCCACAGGATTGGCTTTCACTCTTAGCAGCGGTACTGGCTACAACTAAGACTACAATTTGTGGAAAACGTTCAACTAAATATTTTTTTATTTTTATTTTTTAAAGCCTAAAAAACTAATATGACAAAAGCAAACTGCTAAAATTAAACTAAAATGAATGCTATAAATAGTAGTTAATTGAAAATGTTAATACAATTGCAGGGGTTTTGACTAAAACTAAGACTATTATAAACATTCAATTAAATATTTATATTAGTTGAAAACCTTTAAGTATATTTTTTTGTTTTGGAAAAATAGCAAGATTTAAAAAAAAAACTTTAAAAATATTAATAAAGGTACTCACTTTTACTGTATTTATTTATTTAAATATTGTAGAATGTATTATTTAAACAGATTTGTATTACTTTATTATAATTAATAAATACATGTATTTATTTAATAATATTTTAAGCCAAGACACTACAGGTGAAAAGGTTCAAATTTAACAAATGGATGTTGAGCGATTACATTTTTTTTAATCTAATTAATTATGCCGATTAATTGATCACACATGAAATTTGGCCGAGAAATTTCCCCTTAAAAGTTCATTTAAAGTCATTATTATGTTAAATGAATGTTTAATTTAATGTGTGTTAAACTGCATCAAATAGACATTAGAAAAATAGATTGAGAGAGACGTATTTTATTAGATTCAACAGAATTTATTACTCATAAATCCTTAGCCATGTTTTTTGTTTTTGAATGAGTCATTGAATCATTGGTTCACCTGATTGATTCGTTCAAAACTCTGATTCATTCAGAAATGAAACTTGACCTATTGTGCAAATATTGAGCAAAAACAGACAATATTGTGTCTTAAATATAACAGAAAATTCACTTATTGAACTGTCGTATAAAATCAGTATCACATTTGCGCTCGTGTGATATTGCTTAACTGTATCATATGATATATAAGATATATATATATATATATATATAAATGAGACAAAGTGCATTTTTGACGTGATATCTTATTTCTCTCAGGAGAAGAGTGGGATTGAGGTGTACCTTCGGCCTCTCTCTAAAGGAGCCAGCGCTCTGGTGTTCTTCAGCCGGAGGACAGATATGCCCAATCGATACATGACATCTCTGAAGACGCTGGGATACACACCTGGAGTCTATGAGGTGAGCCTTTACACAGATTAGCTGGAAAACACACTGTTTTCTCTCTTTTATAGGGATAGTTCTCACAAAAATGAAAATTACCCCATGATTTACTCACCCTGAAGCCGTCCTAGATGTGTATGACTTTCTTCTTTCAGACGGACACAATTTGAGTTATATTAAAAAATGTCCTGGCTCTTCCAAGCTTTATAATAGGATTCAATGGGTATATTTTTTTGGAAGTCTATAAAAGTGCGTCTATCCATCATAAAAGTGCATCTGTCCATCATAAAAGTGCATCTGTCCATCATAAAAGTGGATCCCTCTCTCTCTCTCTCTCTCTCTCTCGCTCTCTCTCTCTCTCAGGTGTTTGATGTGTTTTCGGAGAAGCGTTTTCCCGAGCTGAAGGACAGCACAGAGTTCGTTGTGTCGGTCAACCCGTCTGGCGTGGTCATGTGGTACATCTATCCAGCAGCTGATTGGTGGAAAGGGGCGGAGACTAGTCGTTTCAGCGAGAAGCTGAAGGGTCCGAAGATCCATCGATATGCTAATGAGGTCGACGCCCCTCTAGTTCTTTGATTGTTTTTGAAAAGGAAATTAACTACGCACTCAGGGATCTATAGCCAATCAAACGTGCCTCACTCTTTTTTTTTTTTTTTAAATGTACATTTTTTAGGCCTGTTTTTACTAAATGTGTTTTAAATGAGTTTCCATGAATGTTTTAGCATTGACTTTAATAAGACGCCAAACGCTAGCCTCTCATTTGTGCAAATTCACATTTCAAGTCGCTTTCGCACGTAAATCAAGATCATGATGCGTTCGCTGATGTGTGGTACTGTATTTGAACTCAAATGATGGTCAAACTCACAGACGTTACTGTACACTAGTATTTGATTGATGCTTAACCCTGATTGGTTAGAGGCATGATGATAATTGGCTGCAGCTTTCAAAAGGTGGATTTCATTAAACCGAAAATTCTAATCCACTGACTGAACGTGTTTTCAGTTCCTGAATCAGGGTTTCTCATTCAAAAATGTTAAATCCAATTTGTTATGTCCAGTTTGATATGATTTCAGACTAATCAGTGAACAGGAACCAAACCTCACTTCATATAAGAGCATTTCATATTTTTTCAGTTTCCATTACCCTTGAAATTGCGAATTGAAACACGTCAATTTGTAAAGTAAAAGTAGCAGTGCTTCGACTTCAGAGAATAGTTCCCAGTATTGATACGCTTAAAAGATGTCTGTGTCTCATTTGACTTTGTTTTTTGTACACTCTGTGACTATACTATAAATAGAAAAACGTTTGCATTATGTTGTCACTGATTTGGATTAGTAAGCTAGCTGCAACCATTTACATCCAGTCTTTGTGCTAAGCTAGGCTAGCGGTGGGTGCGTCAAACAGACTTACGTGCTGCACAGAGATGAAAAAGGTGTGTATGGACTTATCTAACTCTGGGGGATAAGGTGAATAGGCTAAAGTCCCAAAAAGTCGGAGTCTTCCTTTAAACATTTGCTGACAGATCTCACCACTCAACTGCTTTAAATGTCTTTCCTTTTACTTATCATGATGCACTCTAAATAAGCAGTCCAGAAAACAGCTTTATATATATGTGTGTGTGTATATATTGAGCACCTGCACACATATTGCTTGAAAAATAGCCTAAAACAGTGTCTTACTGGGGGTCTATGATGTTGGTGTTTGCTGAGAAATGTGGGTCAGGAGTTTCTGGAGATCGCAAGAGAACATGAGAGAAGACACGAAGGTGGGCGAGGTTATGCTGAGGAAAACACAGCTGCTCATCCATCTGACCACACATGAGATTATTTATACAGATCATCTCAAAAACCATCCAGCCTCTGCAAACAAACACAATCTGACACTGAACAGGAAACACGAGTGGAAACAAAGCCTCTGAGAACATTGTGATGCTTCCATTGCACATTCGCAGAACAAAAATAGTTTTGTTGAAAACTTTGACGAATCAACTTTGACAGAAAAACAAAACGAATATAAACTTCACGTGCTATGCCTAGACATTTAGACAAACATTTTAACTCTTCAAAATAATTTCCAGATTTATTGGCCAACAAACACAATTTTTTGAAGCATTGAAAAATCCCATATTAATATGAACACAGGATACACATTTTCCATATGCAGATACACACACTTTATACAATTATGTACATGTATGTTATTTATATGCATGGGTAAAATAGGACAGTGTTGCATAAATATAACTTTTTTTTCTCAGATATGCAAGATTCATCAACTTTTTAAAGTCAGTTTAATTTAATTTGTGAAAAGACTTGCCCATCTAATTTGATTGTACTTTATTTAAGACCGCAACTTGAGTTTTTAAGTTGGTGGAAATTAGGCTTTTGTCTCTTCATTGTAGCCGCACATTTCAATATGAAAATCCATCAAATCATTGCTTGAGTTCCTTCACTCAAATGCCCGTCTCCTCTGCAGACGCCTGTTCTGCTGAATGAGGGCAGTGAGTGAGGATTGATGTGCTGGAAATAAAGCAGAGAATTTCTCAGCCCGAGTGTCAGATAGTTTTCAAATCACTGTGGGTGGACGAGCATGAAGTCTCCGGCTGCTCTGTGGAAAACTACAGGGACAGCATATCAGTGTTGTTTGTGCATCAGGAGCCGTTTGGAAAATGACCGGCACATGACGAATGCATAGGAGAGAGAGAGATCCTGACAACTCATTCAGCTAAGAAGAAAAGCTTCTAAATAGAACTTCTAAATTGGTTCTAAATAGAACTAGAATAGTTGTAAAGTTCTGTCAGGCACTTATAGGGGTTCCCATCATGGAATCATTTTTATGGATTTAGTTTCAACTAATTAATTATGTTTTAACTCCTTTTTAATTTTACACATTGAGCATGAGAGTATTATGCAATATATATATATAGAATCTTTTTGGAAAGTTTTTTTTTTTTTTTTTTTTTTTTAATTGAGCCAAGAACCCTAGAGTTCTATATAGAACCACAGAACCTTTTTCATCAGTGTGAGATTTGACTGAGTGATTTACTGATAATGCGGTCTTTAAAATACATTTTTGTTTTACAAGTTTTCTCAAATAATATATTTAAATAGCCTATGCAGATAAGGTATTCTATAATTAAATATGCATGCTCTCGTTCATGCATGCATTTCAAGAACGGAAATCTGAAGATTAGGTAATGCATTTTGTTAAGAGATAATGTTTTTTTTCTTTCTTTTGTATATCTCTTTTGATCACAACCAGAAAATACTGCCAAAAGTTAAAATATCCAGAAAATTTTCTGAATGTTCTAAAAAAATACTAATTTCTCTGTTATTAATAGAATATTCCATGTTGCCATCTTGCAAACCAAGTTTCAATATTACTTTTGAATGTTCTCTGACATTTAAAACACAAAGAAGGAATGATGTATAAATAATGTTGTTGTAATGTTTTGAGAAGGGCAGATCATGATTTCTTAGAACATTAGTTGGGTTGTATCAAACCATCGCTCATATTGATTATATGGATTATATTTGCAGTGAACGCGTGTTGATGGAGTCCAGAGCTGATGTTGCAGCTGCCTGTATTTTCCGGCTCCTTGTTTTATTAGGATAACAAATAATAAGTGAATAACAAGTGGAGGAACATCTGTACGCGTGAGGAGATACCATGTCCCGTGTTGACACAGATGGATGCAAAACATGGATATTCTTTAGCACAACATAAAGACAATCAGAGAAAAACACACAGCATGTTCACTTCACGAAACATAATGAAAAAATGCACTTCATTAATGAATGCCTCCACTAACAAAAAGATAGAACTATTTTTATGTATATTATTACAAATATAGCCAACAAAAATACGTTCCAATTTTTTTTGCTATTAAAGGCATTCTATGCAAGATCTGTACCTTAATATAACAGCTTCAAAGTCGTTTCGGTGGTTAACAAAGTCGTAGGGCGAATCCGGAAAAACCAGCCATGCAAGTTTGAGAGTGGCGCCCCTGACAGAGCTCGCGAGAATCACGAAATGCTTTACGGCAACGACGTCACACACATCAACAACAACAACATTGCGCGCATCCAAGAAAACCTCGGTCAGAAATGTCCAGAAAAAAGGGAAAGAGAATCGGACCGTGCTAGAAACCGGACAGGAGTCCACTCGGTCGGGCTTTCACTCGTTGGCGCGAGCTTAAAAGCAGCTCTGTTACTGCGATGCTGACCTGGCGATCTTGTGATGAACTTGTAAGTAAATCTCTAATTTGTAAACTTGTTTGCGTTCTATGTTGTAATTGCTGCGCTAGCTTGTAGATTGTCATTTTTTACGGTGCTTCATTCATCCATTGTTGATAATTAGAACAGTTCAATAATTCACACACGTCTTGCTAGCTTTCGTTTACAAAAGCTGTAACTTCCTAACAAACAGTCGTTTCTCTTAGTTTTGTTGTTTGTTTGTTTTTTTCGTTATGTTTTATTGCCGAGGTTGCCACAAGAGCTAGTTTGCTAGCTCAACTCAGGTGTTGTGATGTGAATTTATCACGTAACGTTAGTCCTGTGTCTGGTTCGGATTTCTTATGTCGTGCGTAAGTTACTGTTATAAACTTTATCTGACTAACAGTGGACTTCCCGACTGCAATTTTTCTTCAAATTGTGTTGATTATTAATCAATTAAATCTTGACGCTGATGTTGATTCCTGCGATTATCATGAGGACATAGTCAATATAATTATTAGGACATAAGCCTAGAGGTTTATAAATAGTGTAATTCAACACATTTGCTAACTATTATGTCAATCATGTCTAATGAAATGATAACGGCCAATGAAATAATGCGACGTACATTTACTTTATTGATGTCATCTGACATTAAAATAATAAAAAAATAAAAAAAAAATTAAAATTATATAGTCCTACACTATAGGCTATTTACTTGTGATTTAGCAAAAATCATGTAAAAACGTTATAAGCCAGCAAACGCGATCGGCAACTTTATTATTATAAAGTAGTCTAAAACTTGACAGTAGTTCAGTAGGAATGCAGTAACGGTTATTTACGACAGTGCAAGTACACCACAGCGGCTCTAGAGGTCACTGTTTTACAAAAAAAATCAGGGAGTGCATAGTGTGGCTTTAAGTTATGAAAACGAAAATGTTCCCATCCAGTTTTGTAAATGTTTTAAAACATTTTCTTGGTTATACGAATCAAGGGAATTCCATCATTCTTCAAACAATATACGACCATTTGAATGTTCTCTGAACATTCTGAAACATTAGACGAACATCAAACTGAGCGAGAGAATCTTGTTCTGGGAACATTATCTGCTAGCGGGGTTACCATCAAACTAATCAATAATTCTAAACAGTATCTACACTCAGAAGTTGTTACAGTGAATTAAAGGTGGATTTTTTTGCAATACTTTGGAAAAATCTTAATGCTGATGCACATGTGAAAAGTTTGACCATTCTTTGCCCAGTTTGTACATGAAGAGTTCAGATGCAAAAGCCTCTAAATGCCATTTGAAATTTTCTTCTTTAATGATGATTTTTATCAAACTTGTATATTTAAGTTCAGTAATTTCACTTAAATAACAATTAATAGGTAATTATCATTGCCATTTAAGTGAAATCACTGAACTTAAATATACAAGTTTGATAAAAATCAACATTAAAGAAGAAAATTTCAAATGGCATTTAGAGGCTTTTGCATCTGAACTCTTCACATGTCCTCCAGGGTTTTTGAGTTTGCCATCACGTTTTAATCAGATAAGTGGTTTGTTTTCCAATTAAAGCAGCAGAAATCAGCGTAATGAGTGAGGGTCACGCATCAGATATTTTGGTATTTAAGGAGGAGCATCTGAAAGTGTCTGTAATTGTCAGATTCTTCTGCTCCACTGATGTCTTTATAGTCGTCATGGACAGGGTGGTTACGTAACGCCTTATGTAACATGTTTAGGGCACTTGTGTTTTGGTCTGGTGGTCACAGACAGAAGCTCGTTAAGAGCCTGTGTAAGGAGCCCATGAAGTCGCTTTACTCCTGAAGCAGAATCAGCAACACGAATAGTCACGGACGGCAGGGAAAACCAGGCAAATGCAGAAAAATGTTTTGAATTACACTGCAAAAAGTCACAACTAAGCGAGAAAACATCAGAAAAACAATTTTTTTTGCAAATATTTGTTCTTATTTGAAGCTTAAATTCACCGAATTTTGATATATAAAGACTTAACATCTTCAGTCTCCGGTAAATAAATATGTTAGATATTTGTGCTGGAAAACAAGAACCAAGAACGGAAGAACGTCACTTTTTACAGTAA